CAGACTGGCTATTGCACCTGTCAATCAGCAGAGGAGGAACCTGAAGGAGAAAGTTGTCCATCAGGTCCTCCTCTGCTGATTGACAGCAAGCAGTGGGCGGGTGCAATAGCCAGCCTGTTATTGGCTACTGCAATTTAAAAGAGCATATTACAGGCTGGCTATTGCGGCTGACAGCAGAAGCGCAGCGCGGAGGGGTGAGTAGACTGCACGGGGAAGGAAACTCACAGACTGTCAGCGATTTCTTCTTACAGGCTGTAATCGACTGTCTGTCCCCTCTGACACAGATTGATGCAGCCGATTACAGCCTGTAAGGAGAAACCGCTGCCAGTCTGTGAATCTGCAGTGGGGAGAGTTATCTGTGGGGACGGTGCTAACATTTCCCCGCCCCCCACCCAACAGCACCCTTCGGGGGTGATAGGAGTCCTTAATGCTGCTGTGCGCAGACAGCATTAGGAGCCCTGTCACATTCAAGCATGCATCACAGCCGCCGAACATCTTGAGATGAGATGTTCGGCAGCTGCAATGCACTCTTGGATGTGACTGGGCTCCTAATGCTGTCTGCGCACAGCAGCGTTAAGGTCCCCTGTCACTTCAAAACTGACTGTCCCGCTAGATTATGCAGCCGAGGTTGCTGAATTCTGTGCAGCCCGCCTTTCCTGACTGTTTCGGGGGGGCATTTTTGCCACCCCCCTGAAAAGTGCCGTGTAAGGCAAACGCCTTGTTTGCCTCGCAGCAGATACCCCCTGGGTCTCCTGAAGAGGAAGGCCAGGCTGGACAGCTTTTTGCCCCACAAAAGGCTGATTACCTTTTGCGGGGCGACATACATCTGATATTCAGTCTTAGTAAGGCTGGCCATACACTGCTCTATTTCCTCAAGTGTATGGTCACTCTTAGTAAGTAAAGCTGGCCATACACTGTACAAATTCCAAAACCAACTAAAATTAATTCAGTGGGTGCCCCTGTTGACACCCTTCTGCCTGGCATTCTTCCATCAGAAAATAAAAGAAGACGGGTGGAAAATTTTCAGGCGAACAATGTTCACAGCCAATCAGCTGCCATCACTGTTCAGGTATTGTGACAGCGGTGTGACTGTCAGAATACAAAGGACACAGTGGGAGTTTCATCCATTCTAAATGTTTAGTGTGGTGGAGGACTCTAATATGTTTTTTCATTTAGGCTGCAATTTTGAACGAAAAAAATATAATAGTGTATGGCCAGCTTTAGGCTTAACCAAGTACTGTTTATGGTACTGCTAAAAGTTTTAATGGCTACTTTACAATGGGCTTAATTAAAAGCATTTGGTCATAGAGGTTTACCATGGCTAAGTAGCCATTAAGAGGTTTTGCAGACCATCATGGCAATTACCAACATACTTGTTCTAGCTTGAGCTGTGTTGATGGAATTTAACTCTGCTTCTGTCTCTGAAGCTAATTTATGAATTTGTGCAAAAATGAGATTGACACTGTGCTCAGTACAAATCCCAGTTCTCAGTTTGGGATTCATCAGACCTCATAATTGTCCTAACACCAACAATCAGTCTCACCTTCTGAGAGACTCTGCATGCTGAAGTATGCCAAATCTGCACCTTTACACAGGAGAATGGCATCCACAGAAATCTATTGCCCATTTAGGGCTTTCTTGCCAGGATCGATGACTAGGTTACAATATGGACCACTTTCAGAGCTTATGGGCTATTCTCCTAAAATATTTGTTTAAGGCTTAAAGCAGATACTGAACAATTTTTAAATACTGTTTTTGTTATAAAATTAAAGTGTCCTTAACCACATACTACAGTGGGACCTGACACCGACTTAGTGATGGCCAAAAATATTGCCACCCCTACATTTCTGTCAGATAACGCACCACTTTGCGCAGAAAATTGTCGCAATTACAAATATTTAGGCATTCTCATGTTTATGTCTTTTGTTTGTATTGGAATGACAGAAAATCTGACACATTTCACACAAAACTCCTAACATGGACTGGACAACATTATTGGCACCTTCTCCAAATTGCAAGAGATAATTGCATTCCAAGTTTGCAATGCTAATGTAATTTGTAATTAAACTCACCGGTATCAATTAACAGGTGCTGACAATATAGAAATCACAGCGGCAACCAGTTAAAATGGTGAAAAATTGACTCAACCTTTCTGTTGTGTGTCTCTGTGTGCCACATGCAGCATGGAGAAGAGAAAGAGCAGCAAAAAATTGTCTAAGGATTTAAGAACAAAAATTGTGGAAAAGCATGGACAATCTCAAGGTTACAAGTCCATCTCCAGAGATCTTAATGTTCCTGTGTCCACTGTCCGCAACATTGTCAAGAAGTTTACAGCCCATGGCGCTGTAGCTAATCTCCCTGGACGTGGATGAAAGAGAACAATTGATTAACGATTGCAATGAAGGATTGTTCGAATGGTGGATAAAGACCCTCGATCAACTTCCAGACAAATTCAAGCTGACCTTCAGGTACAGGGTACAACTGTGTCAACTCGCACTATACGGCGCCATCTGAATAAAAAGGGACACTATGGTAGGAGACCCAGGAGGACCCAACTGCTGACACAGAAACATAAAAAAGAGATATAGGAGTTTGCCAAAACGTACCTGAGGAAGCCAAAATCCTTTTGGGAGAATGTGCTGTGGATAGACGAAACAAAATGACAGCTTTTTTGTAAAGCCCATCATTCTACTGTTTTCAGAAAAAGAAATTAGGCTTTTAAAGAAAAACAATAAAGTCCCTACAGTCAAACAGGGTGGAGGTTCACTGATGTTTTGGGGTTGCTTTGCTGCTTCAGGCACTGGATAGCTTGACTGTGAGCCTGACATTATGAAATCTGAAGACTACCAAAGAATTCTGGGGTGCAATGTAGGGCCCAGTGTCAGAACGTTGGGTCTCCGTCAGAGGTCATGGGTCTTACAGCAAGACAATGATCCAAAGCACACTTCAAAAAGCACCCAGAAATGGTTTCAGACAAAGCACTGGAGAGCACTGGAGAGTACCTATGGAGAGATCTCAAAACAGCAGTTGGGAAAAGGAACCCTTCCAATCTGAGAGACCTGGAGTAGTTGGCGAAAGAAGGGTGGTCCAAAATTCCTGTACAGAGGTGTAAGAAACTAATTGAGGGTTACAGGAAGCAATTGATTTCAGTTACTTTTTCCAAGGGCTAGGCTACCAAAACAGGAAAATTGTATTTCATACTTACCGTAATTTTCCTTTCCTGTCCAGCTCCATGGCAGCACACGAATGGGTTAATCCCTACCTCCTCCCCTAATCAGGATCGTAACTCATAAAAGCTGAAAGAGTCCCCTGGCTTGCCGTTCCGTAACTCGACTACTATATGGGTGGGCCTTGTGCTGCCATGGAGCTGGACAGGAAAGGAAAATTACGGTAAGTATGAAATACAATTTTCCTGTTTTCCTGTCAGCTCAACCACGCCATTAACCTGTCAATTGACATCCAAACAGACAAACGTTTTCTGCTGAAAGACATAAAATCTCCAGATAATTGTAAGGTGCATGGGCTCCTTTAGGCGCCCAGACCAAGTAGGAATATCTCCTCCACCCATAAGGAGCAACAGCAGTGTACTTACACCTTGTTAGCCAGGCCCCGAGGATCGCCAGCGAGGCTCCCATGGACCTGCACCATTTAGGAAAGCGCTCACAGGTACTTCGCCAACTCAAGGAGGTAGAAGAAGGCGGATAGCAAGAACTTTATCCCTGCTAGGTAGGCACCGTGCTCGGATCCTGACATATAGGAGGAAAAAAAAAGAACGGCAAGCCAGGGGACTCTTTCAGCTTTTATGAGTTACGATCCTGATTAGGGGAGGAGGGAGGGATTAACCCATTCGTGTGCTGCCATGGAGCTGACAGGAAATATTAATTGAGGGTGAAAATAACTTTGTCCCGTCAATTTTTGGAGTTTTGCGTGGAATGTGTCAGATTTGGCTTTTTTTCTCCCCTTTTTGTGTAATAACAATACAAACAAAAGAAATAAACATGAGAATGGCCAAACGTTTGTAATTGCAACAATTTTCTGCGCAAAGTGGTGCATTATCTGACTGAAATGCGGGGGTGCCAATATTTTTTGCCGTGACTGTATATAGGCACTGTATTCCCTCATGTGTTAGAATTAAATTTGTAACAACTGATAAGCATTCCATTATAATGCCAGTTCTCATCTCATCTCGACTGTGGCCTAATTCAGCTCACAGAACTGTCCACAGCTGGGGGCAACAACTATACAATGAAACACTGTTACATTGAAATTAACACTCTGTTCGTGGATACTGTTCATTAATATTACATAATAATGATGGAGTTGCTTTAACAAGTGTTGCTGAATTGGGTTCTAACGGTTTCTGGTACTCAGTAACTTAATTTAATACGGAACATGCAGATTTTCTACCAGCCTTTAAAATCCATATCCATATGCAGTAATGTCTATCAAGAATTATTATGCAACTGAAACATGAAGAAACAGATAAAAATAACCCACTTTCTCCTCTGTGCACATTACAGCAGATGGTTTTCCAAAGGATTTGGCTTGCTGTTTCTTTTATCTGATGCTATTTTTCTTTTCCCAACAGTGAGTGTGTGGATTGTCAACCAGGGGGCGGCTTGAGACTCTGCTGCTAGTTACGTATGATACCCCAATACTTTTCCACGAAGAACATTAATGTCAACATTTCTTGAACCACAAAGGACATATTGTACCTCTCTGATTTACTTCGCAATCAAGTATTCCCAAAAGTTTTCTGAGCATCTGTAGTAGCAAAGGTACAGATTTTATAATGGAGATTATTGGATGTAATTTGTCAAATCACAAGTTTATTTTAAAAGCTGATCAGATCGGGACTGTGTACAAAAGGCAAGCATAGCCCAAAAGCATTTAATAGACTACAGACTTCAAAATCTCAAATCTCCCACCATATTTTTTATTTTCCAAAAGAACTTGCATGTCACATTTGCAAACACAGTTGTGAACCAAATGTCCAAAGATATGATGTTAGAGAATTACGGCTTTCAAAAATGTGTCAGGATTTTTATTCTACAGTGATGTCTTTAGATGGACCTTGGATGGTTACGCAAGTTGGCCTGAGCTAAGGAGTATCTTGCTCTACAAGCAGATTCCTGTGTCTTTCTCCTGGAACGTAACTGTTGAAACTACAATGGATACAGTTCGTAGCAGGTAAGAAGGCACATAACTTCAGAAGTAATCTTTTCCAAAATCAATGCAATACCCAGGTAGATATCGAGATCATTATGCTCAGCTTATCCTAAACCATTTTAAAGCATGGTAAAAAAGTAATGATAATCTTTCTCTGCACTCAAAAAAGCAGCACCAAAACAGCCTTGCAGGATTTTTTATCAACTACTATTTAGTGAGAGGAAGATTGGGTTAGATAGTACACACCGTAAATACCAAATTACAATGCATTGGAGAGAAATTAATTTTCACTGCATCTATTGTGGAGCAGGTATATTCATTTAATTTTAGAGCTCATTCACACTAGCATGCCTGCTAAAACAGAACATTTAAGCGGGCGGCTAGTGTGTTGTGACAGCACTGACAGTGTGTGGTGTACCTGCTGTTTCATTTTTTTTCTTTCTTTTTTTTAAAAGTACAAACTATACATGCCACATGTTGCGTTGTGGTGTGCTGATGGTGCAGTGAACTACTTTTTTTCATCCCAACATTCAACGCAACGCTATTCTGTTAATGCACTATTAGTAATAGCTAACATCATTTGGGTATAGCAAGGTAAAATCTGAAATCTTTGTTTTTAGGCTTCTTTGTCATTTTACCCTGCATAGCATCCATGGCCATCTGAATGACCTTTGTTCTGTCCCCTCTACACATTACCCTGTGGGCTGTGTATAGCTCGACATGCAGCTTAACCCTCATATACTGCAATAAGCCATACTGGATGAAATCTTGAAGCTTTATTAATAAAATAGGGTTCGGTGAAACTGGTGAAAAGAACATGAAAACATATAAGCAATATATGAACGTGTAAATTAAGTGATAGCTCACAGATATAAAGAGAAACAAGTTCGTCCATACAAGCAATGCTGCCGTATGGGGGATCTGGGCATTTGCTCCTTGATTAAGAATTTACCATTGTTCTATAGCAGGGGTCGGCAACCCCCGGCACGCGTGCCCGGCTTGGCACGCGAGGCCACATCGGCTAAAGATATATGCTCTACAGCACCATCTTGTGGCTGAATTTGAAATGGCAGGTAGGTAAGTCAGAAATCTGATGCCCGAGGACAGAACAACCTTTGTTATTACTTTAGATGTCTGCCACCATGTTAAAACAGCTCAGATGAAGCTAGATCTTATGAATTTTAAAAAGATGCAAAACTGCAAAAGCAGACTCCTTAGGGCTAAATCAGATGCGGAAATGCACTGTGCGGAAATAAAAGCAGTTCATTCCCGCAGATTACACTAGGAGAGTGCAGCTCTCCCCATGCAATTACTGCAGCAAAATATGTTCCTGATGTATACCTAATACAAATGTATCTCCTCATTTACCCTTTTTATTTTATCCTCCATACTTTTAACCTTTTAAAATTGTGTTTTGCCTTAAAATAAAGTTTTTGTGATCAGAAACATAAACATTCTAAAGAATAACATATGCATTTTTGATGAGGTATTTAGTTCACAGAAAGAAGAAAAAAATGTGGTTACTATATTAATGTAAATCTGTTCTGTTCCAACATTCCGATTAAGGGCTCAGTCAGTTTACTAAACATTGTTGCATGAGATAGTATGGTCATGTGTCCTTTTTCAGTGAAACATCACATGTGATAACAAAAAGGTAAATTAATTAAAAACAAATTAACAAATGTGAGATAAATAACACAAAAACTGTAAAAAAAAATAAGATAAACATTACATTAAAAACATTAACGTAAATTCACCCCAAAAAAGTATGAGGTGATTAGCACATGTTGATGGCAGTTGTTACTTGCAGCCTGTCAGTCTGTGGCAGTGTGCAATTGTTCATAACAACCACTTTGAGGCAATGGAAGTATTCAAGGACACATTGCTGGAGAATAAGTTCATCCAAAGGAGGATACAGTGAAGAATGCCATCCTCAAGGCGGTTATGGGACCAAATAAAAAGCGTTTTTTATGCCTTGCTGGTTTTTAGTGTTATGGGTGCAATTTACTGCACCCATATGCCTTTTTTTAATTGAAAATGACCAAAAAAAATGAAGCCTACATGATGAGATAAATACCACATGTTTTAAATCATTATCCCATTCATAGATTTGATTGAATTGTATGCTTAAAGCGGACCTTTACACTCAAAAATCAAATTCTACCAATGCATCCCTCTATGTATGATGATTAACCCCTCATGACCAGCGACGTACAGTGTACGTCACTGGCATCGGGGCTGTTTAAACAGACTCCTGAAGGCTTTTGGCGCCGGGACTCTGTTTAAACTTGTAAAGTCGACTGTCGGCTTTACAGTAGAAGCGATTCTGGCGGCTCAGCTGCCACCAGATCACTTCTACGGGCCGCTGAACGGGTCCCGCCCGACACCTCTGCCATGTTTCCCGGGCTCCTTTTGCCCCTCCTATGGGCCTGGGACCGGCTTCTTTGGTGTGGGCGGGAAGCTGGGGAGGAGATGGGCGAACCTCCGTTCACCGATCCCCTCCCAGTTCTATGGGATCGGGAACGATGCAGGTTGCATCACTTCCGGTCCCATAGCTGTCAGTGCTGGGCGTCTGAAGCCCAGCTATAAGCTATTAAAGTGCGATCTGCACTTCAATAGCTTATTTAGAGTGTAAAGGTGACACTGGGGGTCCTTCGGACCCCCAGCATCACCTTTAAGAGTACCTGTCACCACCATCTGCTATCACATGGGGGGTTTGTAAGCCCCCCTATGTTATAGCAATTAAAGTAAATTAAAACAAAAAATTAAAAAATAACAGTTTTTAAAATAATGTTCAAAATTTTTAAAGTTCCCCCTGCGAGCACGCGCATTTTTACGTAAACACGCGTTGCATGTCCCACGTATGCAAACGACGAATGCGCTACACATGTTGGGTATCGCTACGCACACCGGATTGAGAGCAATGATTCTAGGGCCAGTATTTTGGGGTATCTCTAAACTGATGACCTGTGAGGGCTTTTAAAGCGTCGTCTATGGACTTGTGGGGGTACTGAATTTTGTGGCCAGATGCACACCATTTTTAACCTGGGCATGTTGGGTATCTATTTACTTGTTGTAACCTTTTATACTTTATTAAAACAATGGGTATTTTATTGTGTTTTGGGGTCATTTAAGTGCATTTTTTCAATAGATTTTGGGGTTTGATAAGGAGTTGCGCTAATATTGTGCAACATAAAAATTTGCAACTGCCACCATTTAATTCTATAGGATCTTGGCTTTCAGAAATTATATAATGTTTCGTGGTTTTAAGTAATTTTCAGGCCTAAAATGTGGAATATAAGATGGGTGCAAAAAATGGGGGAAAAAGGCTGCAGTCATGAAGGGGTTAATAATAACATAGACATATCAGGTGTAAAATGCTGCGATTTTAGAATACTTACACTTGCAGCATTCACTTCCTGCTTTAAAAGGGTAAAATTACTTCAGTTTGCCCAAGCATTGCATCCTGGAAGGTTACATCAGCAGAGCATTGCTGGGAAATCTCATCTCAGGGAAAGGCATTTTCGTACCCTGAGATGATGTGCATGGTCACATGTCCTGGTCACATGTCTAGTCACATGGGCCAGAAATCCAGATGCAAATGCATCGATGCAAGACTTTAGGATACATTAATGACATTATATGATGAACCTATTTATTTGAAAAAGATGTTTAAAATTGTTTACCATATTGTTGATGCCTAGAATGTGGCTGTGTGGTCCAAGGAGTCTATATGCCTATAGTCATTTTAGATAATATTGTGTTGAGAGAGATGCTGTCGATACAGTATTGGTGGGATTATACATTGGCTCTTTTTTAGTTATTTATTTGTATAATAAAAATATATTTTTTAATAAAGATATATGTGCAATATGTGTTCTTCATGCCTATAGTAACACCCTAAAAGCCCCACTCTCTTCAGTTTTTGATACATATATATTTATAAAAAAAAACAAAAATGCATTAAAATGAGGATGCACAAATCCCAGGAACCCCGTATGCTCCTTAAAAATGACAGCTGCCTCCTAACTGTTGAATTTTTCTCTAGTCTAGTCTAGTCCTGGAGCTGGAAAAGTATCTGTACATGTACTTGTACCGAGTACGGTACTTGGTATCTGTACATCCCGAAAATAAAACGAAAACATCAATCAGTAATCTGACTAAAGAAGATAGACACATGAACTGTGGAAAAATGGTACAAAAAGGTATTCCTCTGTAACACTAGGAAGACTACCATGATGCAATAAAAATGTGTCAATAAAAAGATATCAATAAAAAGAATGTCACTAAAAATGTATCAATAAAAAATTCACAAGACAGATGACATACTTTGATGATGTTATATCTAGACAAACGTAAAGGGCCATATATAAAAAAAAAACTATTTAGCATAAATAAACCCTTAACCAGTTGACATCCGCGCTGTTAAACCCCCTTCCCATCCAGGCCATTTTTCAGTATTCAGCGCTGCAGTACTTTGACTGACATTTATTCCGTCATGCAACGCTGTACTGAAATTAATTTTATACCATTTTTTGGGGACAGATAGAGCTTTCTTTAGGTGGTATTTAATCATGACTGCGGTTTTAATTTTTTACTATATTAAGGAAAAATGAGCGAAATTTTACCCAAAAAAACTGTTTCCCCTATATTAAATGATAAAACATTTATTATTACCCAATTTTTTGGTAAAATATAAAAGACGGGGTCACGTCGGGTAAAAAGACACCAAACATGTCAAGCCTTAAAATTGCGTGCACGCGCGAAACCTCAAAAAACGATAATACCCAAAATTGGCCATAGGCGACGCTTTAAAAGCTGTTACCGCTCATCAGTTTAGTGTTATCAGTGATTGATGGCCCTAAAATGATTGAGTCTCTTAACTAATCCACGACAACCCACTTCAAGGCTAGGAACTCGAGTTTGTGAGCAGGGTAGTTCCTCTCGGAGGGGTTAAGGCTTCGGCTCACATAAGCCACTGGTCGTAACAGCCCATCATGCTCCTGTTACAGCACTCCCCT